GGGTCTGCCTGTCTTGTCTCTACCCACTCCAGTCTACCCTCTGTTCAGCCACTATGGCTGATTTCACTAAAGCACAGTGTGGCCACACCAGACTCATTCAGTAAACTCCAGCGTTCCCTGGTATCTACAGGATCAGTAGAAAACCCAGTCTTGGCTCTTAAAGCCCTTCCCAGCCCGACTCCTTCCTACCTTTCCAGTCTTCTTATGTCTCACTCCCTCCACCCAGTCCACAATCCCGTGACAATGGGCTTTTCACTCCATCTCTCAGTTTCAGATATTCTCCCTAGCTGTCCCCTCTGCCTGGAACTCTCTCTCCTCATCCCTCCCTCCTAGATTCCCAGGCTCCTTTCAAGACTGTCTTCTACCTGACCCCCCTAATTGTTCCTGCCTGCCTTCTAAGATTATCTACAATTTCTCCCATCTGTAATTTGCTCGTATGTATTTGTTTGCACGTTGTCTCTCTCTCAGAGACTGTAAGCTTCCTGAGAGCAGGGACTGTCTTTTACTCAAAGGAGATCATATTTATCAAGTGCTTAGCACGGTGGCACTAGTAGGCACTACATATGCTTATTCCTCTTCCCTTTCCCTTCCTCCCCATTTCTTTGTAACTCCAGCATTCAGTAGAATCCTTGACACGTAGTAGGTGCTATGTAGATACTTGTTCCCCTCCCCCACCTCATTCTTTGGCACATAATAAGTGCTTAAAAAATACTTCTTGACTTGTCTAGAGACACAGGCTCAAAGAGAGTCAAATAACATAAAGCAAATCCACCCAAATTGTCCACATTTCAATACAGCAACAACAAAAACTAGGAAGAAATGATAGAGAAATTACATTCAAAATAACTACAGAACAAATAAAATATTTTACAGGAAACCAACCCAGGCACATGTCAGATGTCTATAAATAGAGCAGCAAAACACCCTCTACAGAAACAAAGGGAGACACAATAATTAGAGGGATATTCTGAGGGACATGGACAGACTTGCAAGAGACTGATGCAGAGGGGAAGAATCTAAACCAAGCAAGCGCTCTGTAATACAAAGACTGCACTCATGAAGGTGGAAAGAACCCGACAGACAATGCAGCCCAACTTCGGGTCCTTGCACTCTGTGTTGATGGAGAGGAGCGAATGCCCCTCCCACCTTCCTTCCTTCCCTGGAGAGGTGGGGACTGTGGGTGCAGAATGCTGCCTGCGCTCTCCAACATGGCAGCTGGATCCGTTGGTCTTCGTGAGAAAAAAAAAGGCTCCCTGGCTGGATTGGGGAGGGTTAGATATGAAAATGACTCAGATGGAAAAATGAAGGCATCAGTAAAATGATGGAAAAGGAGAGCATCTCTCCGCCTTCTTCACTGGCCATTCGCTTGTTTGCTGTCTTGGCAGACGTGCGCAGAGCCACCACGTGGCTTTCATCTAAAACACTCTACTTTCCCTCCTCTCAGCTGGGAGAAGTAGTGCTCAGTCCACGACCAGATCCAAAGCAAAGAGAACATTTGGGACATCAAAAAGCCTCATAGTTTCACTACTCAGAGGGGCCCCCTGAGGTTGAACTGGAATGGATAAGTATAGACAAAAACATCTGTCGGAAGGATGGGCAAAGAACGACCTGAAAGCTGGAAACCACTAGCAAACCTCTTTTACAAGAACTGTTCAGGGCCTTTCCCTCCTGCAAGGATAGAGCCCTGCTTCCCAAATATTTCAAGAGAAATAAAAAAGGGCCAGAGAGCAAGTGGGGGTTAGGCCCTGTCTCTAAATTCAATGGTGAGCAAGGCTTCCCCAAGCATGGTGCCCAAGCACAAGGCAGTTTTGATGGACTGCTGATGGTAGAGAGTCAAACTGCCCACTCATATTGGTCCTCACAACATCCATAGGGTGGCGGTGACCATGGGCCTGGCATTTGTTCCCAAGAACTGCCTCAAGAACAAATTAACTGCTGCTGTCAGTGGAGGGAGCACATGGAGTCAGGAACACTCAGCTCCTGGGTTCAAATCCAGCCTCAGACACTTATTAGCCATGTGACCCTGGGCAAGTCACTTCACCCTGATTGACTCATTTTCTTCATCTATAAAATGAGCTGGAGAAGGAAACAGCCAACCACTCCGGTGTCTTTGCCAACAAAACCCCAAATGGGGTCACAGAGAGTTAGACCTGACTGGAACAATTCAGTAACAACAACTCCATGACAAACTTCTGTTTTTGCTTGAGCAGCTTCCAGGCATACCCCGTGAGGCACAGAGTTAGGTTTTCTGGGGTTTTGACCAAAGGTTTGAAATCAAGTTTTGTTCTAGAAACACAAAGACTTGGGTTCAGCACCTAAGCTTACTATCTGAGTGACCCTAGGCAAGTCAACTCAACCAGCCTGGGCTTTACTTCCCTCATCTGTAAAGTGGGGATAATAATGCCTGCAGTACCCATTCCACAGGAGTGCTTCCAAGGTCAAAAGAGAGGATGTAAAATGATTTTTTTCACATTTAAATTCCTCTATCTATCAGTCCCTCAATCTGTCTCTGAGACACTGGGGAGCTTCCCAGGACATCCACCTGATGGCCCTCTTCATCTTCCCTGTAAGTTGCTGCCTTCCACCATCAGAAGCAAAGTGCCTTGAGGACAGGGACTTGTGTTTGTATCATCAGTACACAAGCCAGCCATCAGGGAAAGTGCTTTAAAAATGTGCCCTAAACTAAACTGAATTTATAGAGCAGAGTTATAGGGCTGGCATAATATGGGATACTGACATATCTGGTCAATTTAGAGGGTCTTTGCCCCCAGCATCTGACATTTGTAGGGCTAAACCCTGGCATAGAGCCATGATCAGCATTGTTAATGCAAGAAACAAGCTTCAAGAAGGCAACCACACCTTCAAATCCGCCCACTAGACAAGAGCCCCTTTGGGCCAAGACCCCAAGACACAGGGACACTGCTTCTCTGAGCAGGAAGAGCTCCCCTGGTAGGTAGGAGCTGGGCTAAGAAAGTGTGCCATGCTATTTAAACTAATTATGCTAAATATGTAGGGGGTGAGCTCTCTTGTTTCCGTGCTAGTGAAGGAACACAGCTGCTGTGTCAGCACCCTATGAACTTCGTCACCCCAGCGCAAGGCCCTGGTAGCTCATTCCTAGGTCCATCTCTGCCTGGGCGGCTATCATTTTGATCATTGTAATTCTGGGACTTCCTTAATTAAAGCCCACGTTCATGTGGCCATAACTAAATTCCTGCAGACACAGAGTTCTCCGTGCACACCATCTGTTATGGAGATCCTGCAGCCTGCACACTCTGGCTTCATAAATACCATTGACTATTAAACATCTCTTCTAGCTTCATATGCTCTTTTCTCAAACACATGCCCAGGTAGCACCAGGACCCAATTTCCCCAAAAACCCTATGTCTGAGAGGCTGGCTACTGGAGACATCATTATTCTTTTTCCAGGGAATAGAAGATAATTGAAGGCAACCAGAGACAATGGTAGAGACCTGGCTAATCTCAGCTCAGACAGATCGCGGTCCCATCCTGCTTTGAGGCTCTGGCCCATCAGATGTCCCTGGTCTCCCCACAGCTGCTTCTCCTTGAGCCCATCTGAATCTGGAGATTTTGAGCTGAATGACCATCCCCACGATCTCTTGGCCAGAAATCACCCGGGTGTCACTTTAGCAAGCATCCCCTCCAGATAAGGAAAGTTACATACCACATGCTTGTTAATTGAAAAAAAAATTTGGAGAAACAAAGTCACATAGTGCCTTCTCTGCTATGGGCCCACACAGACAGAACGCCAGGCTCTGTTTACAGGGCCTCCTTCCAAAAAGGAGAGCTCCCTGGACCAAGACACTGATGCATGCAGGCAAGGTTCTTTTCAAGATGAACCCTGGCTGTGTTTCCTCCCCTTTCTCCCCAGCCCCTGGACCAGCCATGAGATCATCGTGTCCCCACTTCTTGCCCAGCAAATCCTGCAAGATCATAGCTTTAGGCCAGAAGCAATAAAGCCTCACTTGGAAAGCAATTTAAAAAAATGCTCAGAGAACACTTAAGTGGAAGGACTCGGCCTCAGAGGCTGAGGTTGCTATGGCACCATCAGGATGATGCTGAGAAAGAACGATGCCCCTGCTCTGCCAAGGAGAAGGCAGCAGAGGCAGGGCTGCACTGGGTCCTGCTCCCCAGCAGCCCCCTCAGGAGCCCTGGGAAAGAAGCTGGGGAGGCTGCCCTAACTTAGGAAACTGGGACACCTCTCACTTTGAGGTCAAAGCTGTGGTCCAACAAGAAACTAGGAAAGTCCCTGGGGTGCAGTCCCACCTTACTAAGCATTTAGATCTGTGTCAGAGCATGGGAACAGATGTAGAGCAGAAGGGACTGTAGCCCCACTCCCCAATTTTACAAAAAAGAAAACTGAGGCCAAGAAAAGTGAAGGGACTTTCCTCAGATTGCACAATGACTTAGAGACCAAGACAGTATTTGAACCCAGGTCCTGTGACTTCAAAGAGAACCCTCTGTGCACTGGGCACCATGTGCCATTTGAAAACGTGATGGAGGGCAGGGTGGCTCAGGGCCATAGCACAGGGCTGGCCTCCCAATTGTTCAGAAAGATTCTGCCCCACACTGTCTGAGGCACCTTGGACCCCTTGCCCCACACCCCAGTGCACAATGGGTTCTCTGAGGCCACTTGGGTGGAGGGAGTTTTCCTCCACCAATGAGGTCACACAAGGGATCTTGGATGAGGTCAGACCCAAGGACCCAAGGAGGTTCTGCTCTTTCCCCAGGTTCTGCTCTTTCCCCAGACTCTGCTCTTTAACGGCCTTAGAAATGGTCGTCAGGGGAAATGATCTTGAGCTGCCCCACCCCATCCCAGTGCCTTCCCTTCTGGTCCTAGGGCATGGAGACCACAAGCTATCCAAATCCTTGTTCCAGATCTGGAGAGAAAAGAGGACAGAGTGAGAGGCAGTGCCCACACAGGAAGGAAAGTGGCCACAAGCCAGGCTTGGGGATGCCCTCCTGAGACCGGGCTGACTTACTTGGTCAATCTCCATCAATTTGGGGAAGGCCCCCGGGCACTCGATGGCCACCTTCACGATGTCTGCGGGGGGCGGCATGGTCCCTGCCCCGGGCTTGCTAGGCCAGCAAGGAGAGGTGTCGATGTTACCCGGGTCTGAACGTCCCTGCGCCTACGGAAGAGCGGAAGACAAACAGAACATGAGAGGGGAGGTCCTGTTCCATCACTTCCTGTTTTCACTGGGGGTTGAGGTGCCTGAGATGTCTTTGCCTGTGCACAGCCCCCACCCTGAGCCCTGGGACAGGAGGCCCGGCCATGCCTGGCTGTGGGCAAGTGGCTCCCGGGGGGGCACCCACCGAGGCCAGGGGCCACCCACCCCTCCAGGAGCCTGCTAGGGCCGCAGCCGTCTGTGCAGAGCGAGCAGCTTCCTTCTGTCGGGCTGCCTCCGGAAGGACAGATTGCCCAGGAAGTCAGGCATGGCCAGGAAGCAGGGTTTGTCTAACCGTTGGCTCATAGTGTGTGAGAAAACACAAATACATGGGCCTGCTATAGCAACCAGGATGTCAAGAGGAAGAGGAAGGTTTCAGGAGTGCTGTGTGAGCAGACACACACGCACACGTACACACACATACACACTCTGGCATGCACATAGACACACACTCGCACATGCACACACACGTGCACACACATTTGTACACACACACATATACACATGCACATGCACATATACATACACGCACACATGTGTTTTTGTACACAGAGAGATTCTGTGCTTCTCTCATCTCCCAACCCTCCCAGCCATGCTGGCGAGAGATCTAATCCCAGAGGGACACTCAGAGAGGGTCTCTCAGACTAGTCACTCACCAGAGCTGAAGCTTGAACCCAGGCCTCAATTCCCACAGGCCAAGAAATTATTCCTCCGCAGAAAGAGGGCATAGACAAGATTAGCTCAGATATAAATAATAATAATAATAATAATAATAATGAGCTAACATTTATATAGTACCTACTATGTGCTAAGAACTTTAAAATTATTATCTCACTTGATCCTCATGACAACCTTGGGAGGGAGGTGCTATTATTATAGTCATTTTACAGTTGAGGAAACTGTGGTAGGCAGTGACTTGTCCGGGGTCACATAGCTAATAAGTATCTGAGGCGGAATTTGAACTCAGATCTTCCTGACTCCAGGCCCAGGTCTCTATCTACTATACCCCACAGCTGTCTCAGCAGAGATGGGTGGCTAGCTTCATTTCCAGACAGAAGATTGACCCAGAGGAGACCCCATCCATCAGAGTATTGGGCATATAAACAGGGGGTTGGCCACTGGGGAAGAGCCCAGAGCTTTTAAAGGGCATCCTGCTTAATTACCAATCAGTGATCACTTATTTAAAGCCACTGGGACTAGACAGAAGTGGCCCCTGCCCTCAGGGAGCTTCCATTCTAATGAAATCTTTTGCAAAAGGAGATTCCAAACCAAAGGCCCCACTGGACCCTGGGACTTGAGAAGAAAGTGAAAAGCACCTAAGGATGGATTCTGGATCTCTGGCGCAAACCTGTCCAGGAAAATGGGCTCCAGGAGTCAGAGACTGAGGAGGTCCAGTGGCCCAAGAGGATTCCAAGGCCAGAAGGGCCCCACCCTCACCTGCACAAGTATCCTTTCTCAAAGACCACAGCATTATCCTGGCCATGAGCCTGGGACACGTCCAGCCCACCCAACGTGACTCAGTGCTTCTGCCCACCAAGTGCATCCCTCCTAAGTCCACACTCACTGAAGAAACCCGGTCTGTGTGGCCCAGAATGGTGGGGCCCAGACTCAACAAGGCTGTGGGGGCCCATCGGCCTTATTTCCTGTGAGCCCCTAGAATCACAGAACTCGGGGGAAGGAAGCCCAGCTATGGGTTTCTGGTCTAGGCTATGCCTACACAAAATCTCTGCTGTGCTCCACACCCTGGGTCATCCAGTTGAGGCCTAGTCAGGCCTCCTTCAAGCTTGGGTCACTGGCCGTCCTGGGCCTCAACTTCCTCAGATTCAGAAGGGGATGGTGGAGGGGCCCAGGCAGCCTAGGAAGCCCCTTCCGCAAAATCGTTAGAGGCTCAGTCTGGTTTTCTATTTTAGACCTAGGAGGGACTTCAGAGTTGGAACCCAATGCCCTCATTTTAGGGACAGGGAAATAGGCCCAGGGAGTCAGAATTTGAACCCAAGCCCAGTGACTCCTGGTCTGTGCTCTGCTCTTTACACTCTGGATTGAGAAATAGGGAATTGCTTAGAAATGGTCACCAATTTGATTCCGTTCATTTCAGGTCAGATCGATGTAAGCTGAGGTGGGGCACATAGGGAGTTAACTGAACAGTGTGCATTCTTGGTGGTTTTCACAAAATCCCAGAATGTCAAGGTTGAAACAGTGTTTGGAGGTCACCTAGTGCCACCCCCTCATTTAGAGACAAGGAAATGGCTCCACCCCATATTTCACCTTCTCCCTCCCCCTCAGACCAGAGCACCTGCTGGGTGCTCTCCCCACTCCCAGGGCTCATTAAAACTGCCTGGATTCTGCTGACCCTGCCTAGGCTGGGCACCCTGACCTGATGCAGTTGCCCCTCAGCTGGTGCCCTCAGCGTGACCACGGTACACACCCCGCTTTGGAGAGCATTTTATGGGTACAAAGCACCTGATCTCCCTGGATTCCAGCCGTCAGACAGGTGCACAAATGACCGATAGTAACCCTCGGCCTCCCCCCATCCCATTTCTCTGCAGGCTTTGAGGCTTACAAAGAGCTTCCCTCCTCCCACAGCCTGTGAAGGACACAGGGAGAATCTTATCTCCTCTGTGTTACAGATGAGGACACTCCTCGTGTAATAGGAGAGCCAGGAGACGTTCAATACATCAATACACAAGAACAGGTGAGATCGTGCTAGACTGTGGAGAGCCTAGAAGACCAGGCTAACAGATGTTAGGTTTCTGTCGTTGTATCCCCGGGGCCAGGCACAGAGCAGGCTCTTAGCAGACGCTGGTGAAGGGTCTACTCACGCCTGGCTTCATTCCACAGCACTTGGAGGGCCAAGCTGTCAAGCATTAGAGCAGAGGACCGCCTGCCTCTTGGGCTTTGCTTGTCTCAGGGGTCCTGAGGCAGGCCTGGTGGCCTTGCTGGCTTCATTTCTCAGGACTCCAGGCTCTGGGATGAGCTCATGGGAAAAGCATCTCAGGTGGGGAGGGCAGGCCCTCGCCAGCTCTAAGTCCAGGCTGAGAATAGACAGATCTTCAGCTCATTTCCTGAGCTAAATTCTCACCTCCTTTTTCCCTCCACCCAGCATTGAGCTGTCAGGCCCCACTTTCTAGTTACTGAAGGGGGTTGGGGGTGTGGATGAATCAACTGTGGAAAACACACGCCCACTTGGGAGTACTGAGAGCCTACAATGGAAATCGGCTCCCGGCATCAAAGCGCTAGATTTACCCCTGGGACCGCCAGCTCTGAAACACCTTTCAGGGCTCCCACTCCCCCGGGGCCTGGCCCTGCCCTGGCCATTTCCAGGGGATGCACAGGAAAAATCAGCTGGATGAGGCAGAACTCCATCCCACGGCTTTGTCCCAGCCCCTCGAAAAGGAGAAGATAGGAAATCTAGTCAAAACCGGCTGTATACAAAGCAACCCTTTAGAAAGCAAAACCTGAAGCAAAGGACCAGCTTCCTGCTGGGATCTTACATAAGCCTCCCTCCAGCCTCTCCCGGCTAAGGAGGCGTGAAGACCTGCCAGGGCCAGCACAACCAAGAGATAGGGAGCCCGGCCTTAGAGAAGGTACGAGCCTCACATTCACATCCCCAAAAGCCCCTCCCCAATCCAGGTTGCTGAGGTTTCCAGGCCTGAGCAATGAGCCCTGGGAGGGCAGCCTCCCTGCCCCAGGTGCCTCCAATAGAAGGTAAAGGGGTCAGGAGGCAGCGCTGTGCAGGGTGGGATTCACACCCCTCTGTCTGTCCACTCCACCTGCTCTCTTCATGATCAGACATGCTGTCTCTGGCCTTGACATTGGGCAAACGGGCCCCAAGGAACTGCCGAGTCAGACACAAAGGATGAAACCTCCCCCCAGCGCCCAGCCCCACACTTGCCAATGATCAAGACTGACATTCACAACCTTGAATTTCCCTTCATTCCTGGCTTTCCCCAAAAAGGTGGCAAGGGAGGGAGGCAGCAGGGACCAGGGCTTCCATTTAATTCATACTGCTTAATTCACCTTCCTTGAAGAGTCAGCTCAGACCTGGGGCACCTCTCACCCTGGCCCCAGGGGGATTACACCGCCTTGGGGCCGGTCAACAAGCATTCATCTGCCTTGTGCGGGGCAGTAGGCTGAGTGCCGGAAAGGAGAAGAAGCAAAGGATGACCTTGGCTTGAGGCTCTCACCTCCTACTGGGGGAGACAACGTGCCAGCCACTGATGGCCAAGCCAGATACAGACAAGACAAATGGGAGATGATCACGGAGGGATGGCCCAGAGATGAAGGGCAGCTGCCAAAGACCCTGCAGAAGGTGGCCTTTTATCTGAGACTCATAGGAAGTGCCGAGGGTCTGCTGAGGAGGGGAGGGCCTTCCCGGCAGGGGAGTGGGCAGCTAGGGCAAATGGGAGATGCATTGTCATGAGCAGAATGAAATGAAACAGTAGCAAAAGCTGAGCGAGCAAAGGCTGGCGTCTGCAGCCAGCCTCGGCCATCCCACAAGCGCCCAGAGTGCCCTGCTTCCTGGCCTCCATTGAGCATCCGCTTCTCCTAATACGGCCTCTCTAGGTCCCCTAAACTGCTGGCGCCCCCACCCTGCCACTGGCTCAGAACCATTTTTAAAATCGGTCTATGTATTTACCTCCAGCTCTATAGGTCTTCCCCACTGGGAGGTGATCAGAGACATCCCTGCCCCTAAAAATCACTAATAATGGTCAGCACTGAGAGAGGCCTAAGGTTTGTGAAGTGCTTAACAAATGGTATCCCACTTGATCCTCACAACAACCTAGGGAGGGAAGTGGCACTATTATTCCCATTTTACAGGTGAGGAAACTGAGGCAGAGGAAGGCAAAACAACTTGCCATGGGAATCATGCAGCTAATAAGTGTCTGAGTCTGGATTCGAATTCAAGTCTTCCCGAATCCAGGCTCAACTGGGCCTCTCTACCCACTGCACCCTCCAACTATCCA